AACGGACAGAGAAAAGTCTTGGCCAACTCAGGTTTGACCTGTAAGGTGGGAAAGTAATAAAATAAAATAACTACGGCCAGCAGATAGGAGCATTGGACCTCTTTTGGATGAGCTCGCTGTGTGGCACAACAAAGTCGAGACTCCTAAAACACCACCGTTCAACAAATAGGCATTGCTCTCCATTAAATCATGAAGCTCATCTATTATTTACGAAAGCAAATGCAAAACAAGTCAATATTCAGTATGCCCAACAGAGAAGCAGAGGTCGGCGGGTGTCCAGCAGTGGCTGGCGTCTATGCCGATGCACAACTCTGCTGAGCTTCAGCTCACCGTGGGGGCCCTCATCGTGGAGGAAATGAGGGCGGCTGTGGAGCAACACACAAGCTTCCAATGTTCAGCTGGGATCTCGCACAACAAAGTAAATGTTATTTGTTTATTGAAATCTTACTACCGATTTTGATATCTTAAAGCTAACATCAAAAGCACAAGATCACATTTGTTTTTGTTGATTTGACTTCTTTGTTTAATCAGTTTAGCTTTGCTAAAACTATATCCATGCAGAAATATTTTCATTGTAATTTTTACACTTAGGCTATGTTTATATTACATAGGCAATTTCTATTGTATGTGCAATTAAATTCCCAAGTGTTTTTTCCAGGTGCTGGCTAAACTGGCATGCGGTCTGAACAAACCCAATCGACAAACAGTATTGCCGCTGGACTCCGTGACTGAACTTTTTAGCACGCTGCCCATCAGCAAGATGTGAGCATTTCAGTGAAGGCGCCGCGAAGTGAGACCCCTTCACTTATTAATCCAGCTGTCTTTCATTTGCGCAGACGCAACCTGGGAGGTAAACTCGGGGTCTCAATCACAGAAGCTCTGCAAGTGGAGCACATGGGGGAGCTAACTCGCTTCTCTCAGGCCCAACTGGGGAAGCACTTTGGAGAGAAGACCAGGTAAGGCTGATGAACCAAAACTTCTGATCCCGTCAGTCTTTATTGGATTCAATGTGTTTTTCAGTCAGTGGCTATACGATTTGTGTCGGGGTATCGACTTCGAAGCGGTGAAACCCAGGCAGCTGCCAAAATCTATTGGCTGTAGTAAGAACTTCCCTGGGAAAACATCACTGGCTACAAAAGAGCAGGTATTCAGTCCTGCGGTGTGTTTATGACACAGCTGGATTTTATTTTATCAACCGATTGTATTGCACCTAATATTTTGGCTGTTTGGTTTCTGTTTTATTGAATGTACCTCTGAGAAGGTCCAGCACTGGCTTCATCAGCTGGCTTTGGAGCTGGAGGAGAGGTTGACAAAAGACAGAGAAGAGGTAAGAAAAAGGCTTTGGAACACTAAACTTCCTGTTTGGAGTTTCATTTTACTTGCTTGCGTAGATTTTCTCTTGGGACTCTGGCTCCCTCCCACATTCCATTTATGAAATGCTATATTGTGTAGTTTGAGGAACCTACTGTAAGTGACTCTTGCATTTCATGCAAAGTACCCTAACGATGTACATTAATTTTTTTCTTCCAGAACGGTCGCATGGCAAAACAGTTAACAGTCGGCGTCCGGCAGCTGGGCGACAAGCGACCGAGCAGTTTCTCCCGCTGTTGCGCTTTAGTGCGCTATGACGCCGCCAAGTTGTCCAGCGACAGCTTTGCCATCATAAAGAGCCTCAACACAGCAGGAAACCAGCAGGCGGCATGGTAGGTCCAGTGTAACCAGAACGCGCATTGGAATTTAAATGTCAATATTACTCCTTTTACACTTCAGATATGGTTACTGATGTTTTTTTTTAACATTACGCATTGTTCACAATTAAGCAATCGCTTTCAAAGTTATGCTAAATGAGTCAGCGCATATCTGCCAATTTTAAGTGCCTATGATGAACCACATATCAAGTTGAGCTGGCCTAGTAGGCTTGACAGTCATTCTTGACAATGGTTGTTTGTGTTTTCATATACTCCTGCTTGCCATGCAGGACTCCGCCTCTCACGCTGCTGCACCTCTCCGCCAGCAAATTCTCCGACGCCCCTTCAGCATCAGCGGGGGGCATCGCAGGCTTCCTGAGTGCTGACGTTGCTTCCACTCAAATTTTGGTCTCCGCTAGCCCCACCGCACGCAAAACACCCACCACCATCCAGTCCTTCTTTCACAGGCAGCAACCGCAAACTGAGTCCTCTCCATCTTGTTTTGTCTCTTCTCCGAGTCCTTCTAAAGACACTTCGGCAGGCCCTCGTGCCACTATTGCCTCGTTCTTCCACAAGAAAAACACAGAAACATTTTCAAAGCCGAGGCACAATGGTGAAAAGCGAGATGATGGTGAATCCAACTCACTGGCAACCTCCGTAGTGGACAGCGCGGAAGACATGCTCAAGTGTGAGCGCTGCGGCCAGAATGTGCTGGCATGGGAGATGCCCGAGCACAATGACTATCACTTCGCTTTGGACCTGCACAAATCCTTCTCCCCTTCTGCTTCTTCGTCTTTCGTCAGAAGGGGACCTCCTGCAGGGGTGGCGTTGTCCTCTCTGGGCAAAACTAAAAGCAGAGCATCAGGAGGTCCCCATCCCAAAAGACATTGCTCTCAAGGTGGAGGTGTGGGTACTTTGGATTCTTTTTTCCAAAGATAATGATCTTTACATGTGTAAGGGACTTCTGAAATCACAAAAACTGTGGTAACTTCACTTACAAGTGCCCCAGCTTACATGCTGTTCAAATTTCGAGCCGTCACTTGGTTGATTTTTATGTTTTTTGCTTGATTTAAGGGACAGTTAATTAGAAAAATGCAAAATGACAAGTCGCTATAACGAACGTCATTCACTAGGCCACACCCCAACTTGAATACACCAGTGTGCGCAGTTACTGTATTTCACTTCCTATTATTGACATTCTCCTGTTTCTATCCAGTATAATGTAGTGATGCTTTTCAAATGCAGTCATTTGTGGAAGGCTGGAAAGGTTAATGCAATTTCAGAAGCAAAATTGACTTCATACCTTCACTTGGAATTTTGGTCATGGAATGAATTAAACTCTTTAAAATGCTGTATAATAAATGAGAAACTCTAGAAACTGGATCATTAACAATAACCTGTCTTCATCATTGTGATTTGTTCAAGAATTAAAAGCAATGGTGGATCCCAACCAGCCCTGTTTTAAATGATTTGGTTGTATGCTGTGGTTAGTTTACACATTTTGTTTTTTGTTTTTTTATTAACGTAAAGTACATAAGTTTGCTTTGACCCAAATAAAACCTGGGGACTGTTATGAAAAGCAATCCCCAAAATGGAACCCACGGATACATGACTTTGCGTTCGACTTTTACATCCTATTTTTATCATCAATTCAGGCCCTTGATGTCGTGTTATTCGGCTGTTATTCCACAACACGCCAGCAGGTGCTAGTAATGAGCTACATATGAAACAAGAAAATCAAACCAGTCATTGTCCAAATACTTTCGGGCACCATAGACTGCATTCTAATAATTTAAACACATCACATATAATTTTATCATTATATTATGTTATATTAAAGTGAATTTTCATTCGGCAGTAGTTTTTAACTATCAGTATATTTTGGGAAAATGTCAACTGCCAATATTTTTTCAGCTATCTTATGAGGATAGTCGAATGTATTATGAGGCGTTACCTTCAGCATTGTGAGTCATGGCCATTTTTCATGTGACTAAAAAGGTGTGTCTCCTGTTGTTTAGTTCGGTGTGTTGTTGCCTTAGTCTTGCATCATGTTGGACAGGGTTGGCCAAACTTTGGGCCTTAGAAAGCAGTTAATCCTAGTGATTTTCAATCACACCCTTCCTTGGCAAAAGAGGCATGTCATGAATTGAAGTGTTAAAAAAAAAAATGAAGTCAACATTTAATGGCATAAACGCTATTGTCATGAACACCACAATACACCAATTGGATCTGTACATAATTGGTTCAGACGTGATTATACACGTTTCCATTCATAAAGGGGATAAACCATAAAGCTTCAAAAGAGTTGGGATTGCAAAATGTAAAAACGACTGGAAATCCACCTGAGATGCACAAAAACACAACATATGGTAAATGTAGATATAAAGTTGAAATATGCTCTTTAAAAACAACACAATAATCAAGTGGGGTGTGCTGTGTTAAGGTGGTGTGGAATTAAAAAGTGTGAATAGTAAGTACTGTAAGGCCCACAGCAGTCTTCATTTTGAGCAGTACTTAACAGTCAAACGTGTGGTAAATTATTTATTTGAACCAGTAGCACCACCTGTAAGTTCTGTGTGTGTGTGTGTTTGAACTGCATGAATAACTTGTGTTGGAAGGCACTACCATTAGGCACTGTGCATGCGTGTGTGAGTGAGATGTCAGTAACTTTAAAAGCTTGCAGCAAATAACTTGGAAACAGATTGGCTTTGAATTCCAACAATTCATAGGCTGAATTCACTGTCGGTGTAATAAGCAGAGTCTCAAATACGTTCGTCCACATGATCCCCATTTGCAGTCTTCACTCGAGTCGGTCATGATGCCATTTGGACAAAAGACGAGCCACCGAATGTATGCATGCTTCACAGTTACACCAGCTGTGTCAACAACATCTGCAAGAAGGTGTGTGAGTGTGTGTGTGTGTGTGTGTCAGTGCAAGTGAGAGCAGCCTCTCCCCCAGCCTCAAATTGTGTGATTCGGATGCACTGTGATGTTGATACCGCCATATCACTCCTGCCGCTGACTTTAAAGCTCAATGTTACTTTGGATCGGTTTATAGTAAAGTTGAAATGGGCTTTAGTCACACAAAGTCACTCAAATGTTAAAATGTTTCAAACATTAGCAGAAGACTCACGTCTTCTGCTAATGTTTGAAACATTTTATCGGCCACAGTGCTGTGTAGAATAGGTGATTTTCCTCCCCAAAATTTTGCAACTCAACTTGGAGACAAATATCAAAGTGTGAGGATTGTTCCTAGCACCCCAATATTCCCAGAACAGTTTCAATGATTTTTACCGCCAAATATTGCGAGAATAATTTGGGAAAAAATATCGACTTGTGCTAATCTTTCCACCAAGATCATGTGACAATAGCTCATTGAGATGATTTTCCTCCTTCCTTGCTCAAATAAATGATAATTTTAGAAGAGTGTGATGATTTACAAACTGAGTATTTTGGTCCAGTGGAGTTGCCATGATTTCTTATGCTCCGTCTTTTTTTTTTTTTTTTAACAGCATAAACCCATACTCTCACAAATGAATCATTCGGCCCCAAGTGTGACAGTTGTTGACTTTTGTTTCATGACAGTGCAAGTCTGATTGTGTGAATGTGTGTGTGTGTGTGTGTGTGTGTGTGTGTGTGTGTGTGCGTGTGTGTGTGTGTGTGTGTGGCTACATTCTAACGGCTTTACGTGTGTCTTGAAGGTATAAAGGCAAGGCGTTCTATTAATGCAGACTTGTTTACCTTCTCCGGGTGAGTGCGGCAAAGAGTGCAGACTGGCCTTTGGTGGAAGCTTGTCCGTTATAAAAACAAAACCAAACGGCACTTGTGTGTTTTTCTGGGATGGGGGAGCGTTCACTCTCTAGTCGTCATCTTCATCTTCGTCACTCTCCGGGACGTGGCGATATTGCGCAATGGGATGCAGCTTGGTGACGTGGCCGATGCCCTTGGTGACACCCTCCCTGAAGAGCACCTTGGCCCCCAGCTTCAGGTACTCGGGATGCTTGAGGAATTTAAACTGGACGTCTGCTTTCTCCCCTGTCCTCAGCTCCTCCTGCCATATGTAGAAAAGTAGTCACTTCCAAGATCACAACGATGTTCAAAGTCCCCCCAAAAGGTTTGTCTTTTCTAATTATTCATTTAATGGAAGTGGTTGAGAAGAAAATATCAAAGGGAGATTCACATCTGTTTTTTTTTCTTGGGGGGATAAAACACATTGTACGTTAGGTAAATACAAGTACAGATGAGAAACATATTTCAAAGACTTCCCATCCACTTTTGGACAATGTCCAGTATATGTCCTCTATTTTATTTTATTTTTTGAAAATTCTTCGTAATTTTCAGAACAATACAGGGATCGTCGTGTAAAACAGTGAAAAAAAAATGGAAGTTGTCAGGAACAGCGGCAATTCAAGATGGCCGCACTCTGCCGCGAGAGACCAATTGTGAGTCCAACGCATATACGTCTGTTGTTCAAGCAGCCAGAGACTCACCTTGCCATAGACGGCTTCCACAGTGGCAGTCTGCCTCACATTGCCTATGTGCACGGTCACCTGGAAGCCCTTGTGGAAGGTCTTGGAGTGGAAGAGCAGCACAATCTCAGCCTCAAATATCCAGCAGATGGTCGGGTCCATCTCTGGACTCACCATCACCATCCCCTGCGGAAGGAAAACTCGATCAGATGCACTTCGTTGGCAAACACCGAATGGAAATAATACTCGAGGCCGAGGCGGACCTTTCGCAGCAACGTGCGGTCAAAATTGCCGAGTGCCAGCGTGGCAGCCTGTCCGGCACGAAGCACCCGGCAAGCTGAACGGTTCCTCTGGATGCTCCCGACGGTCAATTTGTGGAATTGCCCTGAGTCTGTGGGCCCGACCACCAGATCGTCACCCTCGCGGCAAATACCACTACAACCAAAAAAAAAAAGTCGATTAAAAAAAATTTTTTTAAAGACAAATTTTGAGTCGCTTGTTGCAGATAAACTAACCTGTACAAAGTACCGCCCACCACAGTCCCCACTTCTGGCACTGTGTAGATCTCATCCACCTGAAGAACAACATTTTTCACTCAATCATGTCTTAACCGGCAGGTTTGTCACTTCTTTAGGCAGCTGCACACAAAATACTGTAGTAGACGACTGGCCCTCGCACACCAAACCTCTGTTAGGGAATCACTGACTGACTTCATAGAAAATAGTATGGCTTGGTGGTTGCGGGCTAGATCTCGCTTAGTACTCGCAGACATAATTGTTGCGATCGAACCTGGCATTTTCATTCATCTTTTCGGTTGCAAAGCCATTCCCTTGCACTTTCAGCCTACCTAGTTGGAGATGGCGAATGAAAGCGAGGTCAAAAACCCGACACACAGCGCGATGTGACTTAATTATTCCGTGGCGTTGCTGAGTGTGGCTTTACCTGAAACTCAGTGAGCTGCTGCATGAGCTCCTCCTGCTCCTTGCTGTTGCTGAGCGGAGGGATGATGTTGAAGAAGACCTTGAGCAGGTCCAGATTCTCTCCGGACACGCTCGACACAGTGAAAACGGGTGTAATGCTGCCGGGAGGGGAAAAAAAAAAAAATCACATGATCAAAACAATGACAGTGTCTGTACTGTTAGTGTTCCAGTATCATGATAGTCATCATTTAACATGTGGTTGAACAAGTGTTGCTTCTGTTAAGCCATGGTTAGCGCTCTTCCTGGTTTTATTTTGGTCGGTTGCTACTTCCCGTCTTTTTTGTTCCCTTTGGTATTGATCAACTTTTTGTGAACAAAGGACTTTGATTCAGACCTTCTGCGACTGGTGCGTTTGAGTCCAGCTGAATGACCAGAAGGAGCACTTTAGCGAAGATGTAGACTGCTACATTAGCTTCTCACTCTAACCTGCGACTGGATAGCCGTCACATGGCGTGTCACTTGTATCAAACAGTAAAAGTGTGATGATGCACTTCTCAGTTTGGGATATTCGGCTTTCGGCTGAAATTTCAGGATAAACCTAAAATGTAACTTCAAACAACTTAATTGGTCCTCTAATTTTTTTTCAGTGGGCAAGTCCAACTGCTCACTATTTCAGTACTCTTGTACAATTTGCTGTTCGAACATTAAAATTTCCGTAAGGTGTTTGATCCATGAATTACGCACATTTCTTGGGTCAATTACAACTGGACGTGCATTTTGAAAATTTCCCCAGTGTGGGACAAATAAAGGTTATCTTATCTTATGTGCATTCAAAAGTTTAGAGAGGGTGAAATTAAGTGCAGAGGAAATGATTATAATGGGCTGAAAATTACCCTCGGAAGTTAGGCTAGAAATTTTACCCTCAAGCCAAATATCCCTAAGTAATTGTAAGTGGTGTCTATACATTTATCTACATTTCATTTTATACTTGTGTTCAACTTCAGGGGTTGGTACACACTTGGGCGACTGGGCAAACTGCTGAGCGGCGGCAACGGCATCGTCCTTGTTGGCCACGACCATGGGCACCTTGTTGCAGCCCGGCTGCTTGAGGACTCGCTCCAGCTGCCGCACCGTTCGCTCCACGGTGGCCCGCGTGCACAGGTCCACTTTGCTGATCACGATGAAGATGGGAACCTTCAGGGCCAGGGCCAGGCCAAGGTGCTCCCGTGTCGTGCCAGCTGAAAAGGAAAGGTTTAAATGCCGAGTGACTTTCTTTCTTAAAATAGCAGCCCGTTGACTTTGGAGGAGGAAATCATTTTGGAGCCTTTATGACACTCTTTCTCATGACATTGAATCGATAGCTGCTGGATGCTTCTGGTTGTCTTAGACATATATTTCATGAAATGCACGATACCGCGGTCCCACTGGTATGTGTTCCAATACGTGTATATATTGACGATCAGCTGCATGTCAGAATGGCCGAGTGATCTAAGGCGCTGTGTTCAGGTTGCAGTCTCCCCTGGAGGTGTGGGTTTGAATCCCACTTCTGACAACAGATGCAATTAATGATCATGCACTCATTTTTTTGACTAAAACTCGCAAACCCAGTGTTCCACTTTGTAAATTTGTGTCGGCTTTATGAGATTACCAGGGTGAACAAAACTTCCTTTATCGTCAACACAAAAGTAAAATAATTAAATCACATGAGGATTAAAATCCGCTCATGCTTCTTAGTTAAAAGAACGGCAGCACTCCTTTGTACTGTCTGCCTCAGTGGCTGTGTTCGTACACAAGGTTCCCAGTCAGGATGGCCGAGCGGTCTAAGGCGCTGCGTTCAGGTCGCAGTCTCCCCTGGAGGCGTGGGTTCGAATCCCACTTCTGACAAAAGTTTTTGATGATCATCAGAATGACTGCAATACTGGACATTACTGTACTTATGTCCTAAATTAATATATGTCATAGTTGTTTGTTTTCTGCAGTCCTAAAGTCATTCCAGCGACTGGAGAAAAATAAATCCTTCAACAAACTTGGAGTTTCCTTTCTTGATGCTGATTGTCTGTCTGGGTGTGTAAAGGGCAACATAAAACGTCAGGATGGCCGAGCGGTCTAAGGCGCTGCGTTTAGGTCGCAGTCTCCCCTGGAGGCGTGGGTTCAAATCCCACTTCTGACAAATATATTGATGACATGCTTTACTTCCATTCAATCAACTGGTAACTTGCCAAACAAAGTTGAGGGCTTCAGCATTGGGCTTACAGGTGTCCTTGCAACTCTATATATTGTCGATTATCAATATTTCTTTGTATTCACAAAGTAAGGAATGAAAATAACTGTCAAACTTTCAATTTACCATTTACATTTACCATTTTTTTTAATTCCAACTTGTCAACTTCAGAGGAGGAAGAACATTTTAGTCTCGGGCGTTACTTTGACTGACTGTAATGTGCTACCAAACAGGAAAAAAAAGAGGCAGACATGAGAGTAATGCAAAATGTCTAAAGTTCATTCGAGGAGGGATGATTGCATGTGATGGAGGAGCGGTCCACATTCGTGACCCTGTTTCAAACGGCGCACTCTATTTTTCACACAAACAAAAACACCCACAGCAATGAAATGCAACATATATCAATGGCTTTTTTAGTTTTATGTGCCGATGTGTTGTAGTTACGTTAGTTTCTGGGCAAGACTGGCTGCTAAGTGCACTCATATCAGCAGCTGATACATCTCGGAAATGCCAGCATGAAACCCAGCTGACCCAAAGATTATATTTTTAGAACGGGTCATTCCTGGCAACAGTGTCCGGTCTGTTGCATAAGGTCAGATTCCATGTGTGTAGTGCTTTTGCGCTGCAGCTGGTTGGCTGAACAAGCGGAGGGAAGGATTAATCCATCCATCTTCAACACCGCTTATATCTTCTACAGGGTCGCGGGGCTGCTCGAGTCTATCCCAGCAGACTTCGGGCAGAAGGCGGGCTACACCCTGAACTGGTTGCCAGTGAATCGCAGGGCACACATAGAGACAAACAACCATTCACACCGTCACAGCTGCACACCATTAGCTGCCAATAAATAATGGTGCAATTATATTTAACCGGTCTGAAAGAAAAAGTTTTTGGATTGACAGCTGGCACTGCCAGTCATAGGCTTCAACATTAGGCCTTATTTGTACACAGCCCGTCATGAGTCAGGATGGCCGAGCGGTCTAAGGCGCTGCGTTCAGGTCGCAGTCTCCCCTGGAGGCGTGGGTTCGAATCCCACTTCTGACAAAAGAATCTTTTAAACCTCCTGTACAAATTTTCGGCTAAAACTCACAAACCCAGTGTGCCATTATGTAAATTCAGGCAGTACATGTTTGTGAGTTTACAAGGGTGGACAAAAGTCAACTTCATCGTCAACACAAATGTGAAATCATGAAATTGCTGGAGTGACAATTCAAAGCAGTCTATTTTCTTGTTCACAGGAGTTAACTGCAGCAGCTCAGAGCACTCAATTGCCACCCCCCCCCCCCACACACACACCCCACCCATATCTGTGTAGAGTGGGCCTCACTGCATGTGACGGTATCAGGATAATGGTATGAGTCAGGATGGCCGAGCGGTCTAAGGCGCTGCGTTCAGGTCGCAGTCTCCCCTGGAGGCGTGGGTTCGAATCCCACTTCTGACAACTGAATCTTTTAAGCATCCTGCACAAATTTTCAACTAGAACTCACAAAACCAACTCACAAACCCAGTGTGCCATCATGTAAATTCAAGCAGTACGTGTTTATCAGCTTACAGGGGTGGACAAAATTCTCTTGCTTGTCAACACAAATGTGAAATAATGAAAATCATAGAGTGAGAATTCAAAGCAGCCTATTTTCTTGTGAACACAAGTTAACTGCAGCAACTCAGAGCACTCAACTGATAAACCTGCCCCACCCCCGACATCCGGTGCAGTCAGTACATGTGATGGTATCACATCATGCAAATGTGTCAGGATGGCCGAGCGGTCTAAGGCGCTGCGTTCAGGTCGCAGTCTCCCCTGGAGGCGTGGGTTCGAATCCCACTTCTGACAGAATATTTTTAACTCTCTTTATAAAAGAATCATGTTGTTTAAATTGACATTATTTGACTCAAAAGTCAGGATTGGTCAAATTCAGATTTTATCATTTTTATTTTATTTATATTATCTCCACGAATGTGATGAAAGTCAAGTCGACGACAACTAGTTGCTCATGATATCATTGGTATTTTCTTACTGCAGATGGCCAGCAAATGTACGCAGAGCATCCACATTAGAACACGAGAGCATGAAGATTCGCCGACTGGCGCGTGATGGTATTTCTAGCCAGACAAAAAAATGATCTTGCTCAGTCTGCTTGCTGCTGCGATAGTCCAGTCAAATGCGGACACCGGTCCTAATCTTGTGCCGCAGCAGCAGGTACTGTATGGTGTGTTTTTGAATTAATATGGCAGTGGACTGATTTCCCACTCCCTTTGCACGTTGACAGTGGCTTTTTTTCCCCTTTTGTGGTTCTTCCTCATTTACCAAAGCTGCATATTCAGAAATAGAAGCCAACCGAAGTAATTCAATTCAGCACTCAGTTGTTGTAGAAAGCGGTTAAGTCCTCTTCAAGCCAAAAACATGACTGGCTACGACATCAGTATGGAGTAGACAAGTCGACGAATCGAGTAGTCAGTACGACTCTTACACAGAAGGACTAGTTCCAAAACAAAATCACAGAATGGCAAATGTGTTTCGCTAATTTTGAGCATGCTCAGTTAATGCGTTTTAAAGTACAATTTTTGGGCAAAGAACAGTTTTAAACACTAAATGTAACCCTCCACATCAAGCTTTAAATGTACAAAAATCTGCAGCGTTAAGGAGGTATGTATTTCTGTATGCTAACAAGCACCCAAGCCAACAAGATGGGACGAAAATGCCTCGTTTGCAAAACACACTCAATCGACAAATGCTCACTCACCAATGCCGGTATTTGCGCTGACAACAAGCATGGCGAAATCAGGGCAGTAGCTGGTGAGGCCAAAGATGGTGGTCTTCAAGTATTTATGGTGACCCGCCAGATCGATGAACGTGATCATTTTAGAGGCGCTCTCGCAAATCTCCTCTGCCGTTCGAGACTCGCTGTAGTTCACAACCTGGACAAAAAATGGCACATTGCTTAAACGTACTCAATGTTTGTTAGTTCTCATCTATTGGTGATTCTTTTACTCGCCTCTCCTTTACTATTGAAACCCAGGATCTCAAAGCTGATGCTAGATGTCCGCCCAGTCTGGATTTCATGGAGGTGCCTGAAGAGGTTGAGTCTCGCTCTTCCCCGCCCATTATCGAGCTCGCCTTGCGTCAAAACACCCAGCAGGGTCGACTTACCCGAGTCCACATTACCGATTACGGCCACTCGCAGGTCCAGGAACTGTATGAAAGAGCAAAGAAATACAATATATTTCTTTAAAATGACGATATATGTGAATCTGTGTGTCTTAATGGGAGACTTGCTAACCTGCTGGTCATCCGGCACCTTACGAATTAGGACTTCGGCAATGGTAAGGGGTTGATCAGTGTCGTAGTCCACCTCTGCATGTCGAAGGATGGTGATGTCAGCCCCAACTCTGTCAGACAAACATGATTTTTGGTGTGAAATCAAAATGTAAAACGTACTGTATACGCTTTAGATCGGTGGATAGGTTCACTTCAAAGCTCACTTCTCAGCCATCCTATGGAGGGTGGTCAGGGACGCCCTCATGTCATCCTCCGACAGTCCCACCAACATGCCGTTATCCTCCACCCCGATCTGATAGACAGCTTCTCCGCGACCCTCCTGGAGCCGCCATTTCATTTGCGTCACCAGGTGCTCAAATCGGCTTTGCGTAGGGTCCACGAGTTTCAGCTAAACCGCAGATGAAAAGATCACAGAACTCAACAAACGTTATCCCGATGCGAACATTGCTGTTGCTAATCCACACTGGTGTCAGATTTCAACATAGGCCGAATGGAACAGACTTGTCAAATTGTTGACCTACAAATGTTCTTCACACTGACCTTATCGTGAGCCTCACTTTCATGGCTGAACTAAAACTGTGTCTGAAAGTGGAAGTGTGGCATTTGATGGGACAACGTGAAAACTTATGTTCTGAGCAATGGAAGAGCTGCTGTCAAGCCACAGCCTGAATTTTTGGTTGTATAGAAGTCACTCATTTATGTTGGGGGTTACATTCCAGAACCTCCAGGCATATGCAAGTACTAAACAGATGAATATTCGAACTATTTTCAATTTAAAAGCACAAATATGGGAGTGTAGTCTGTCACTGCAGTCAACTTAACAAGTAGGGGAAAAGCTAACACATTTCAATACATATTCAATTAACTGAATGTGGCTGTAAGGCTCAATAGACCATAAGCAATAAAATAAGACCACACCCAACATTTCGTGCAATACTATAAAAGTTTATTACCTATGAATAATGACTAAATAAACTATTCTGACAGTGTCGCTGTGTTTTTTTTTTTTTGTGGGGTGGGGAGTTAATTTGTATTGAGTGAAGTGTCTGGTTAGTTTAAATATCTCATATCACCCAGGCGACTCACACTGACACCATATATCCTAAAACCATATTGCTTTACGTGAAACGCCTTACCTTGTACTCTATATTCCCTTCTTCCACCTAGGAGATAAGAAACAATGTATCAGACTCAGACAGTGACAACCAAAAGGCCAGTAATTTTATCTCACGACATTAGTATCAATCACAACTGGAATGCTGTTTGTTTCACCTCTCATTTGAGAGGGCCGCATTAGTTCATGAAACAAGGCTTAGTTAGAACTGACCAGCCTGAGTTGGTGTGGAAAAGCCAATTATTTATGCTCCAAGTTGTAGGCACACAGCACCACCAGAAATTGCGGCATTCTTATGTACAAATGATCATCGTTAAGATATCAGGTGTAGGCTTCTTTTAGTCACTAAGTCATTGGGTAAGTAAAAATGTAGGGCATAGGCTACCTCTGCAGTTATAGGGGACTGTGTTTTTGTTGTTTTGGAATTTGACTCCCAACATACATCAAAAACTGCTTTCCAAACCAACTCGGGCTGGTCTGTCCTAACCAAGCCTTGTTGCATCAGCTCAACTCTACTCAACTGATGAAGGGTGAAAGACGAAACGTCTTCTAAGACAACCAAAGGAATCCAGTTGCAATTTATTTAATGCCCTGAGAAAGAAAAGACCTGTCTGAATGAGAATACAAGTACGCCATTGATTTGTAAACTAATAATAACTTTTGGCTGAATGAGCACAATGGTCATCGGAAAGCTGAGACGAACGCCGAGCTAATAAATATGTTATTAGAAAACGCGTGTCCAATTCCATTCAAGTTTACCTCAACATACTACGACCGACTTTCAACATTCTACATTTGCATACTACCGACGAGTAATTTGCTTTGCGAGTTCAACAAAAGTGGGTAATTATGTAACTTTCCTATACACAGCCTAAAGTAAACAAACACAATGTCGGCCAAGGAATAGACACTCTATCTTTGGAAGTAATATTACTGTATTACGATTGAGGACTCGTAACTACCCCGCCGCCCCGCTCCCTCCCATATAAAACTATTTACAAACACAGCTGATGCTACAATAGCATGCTAACTGCACTTTCGCGCGTTTCAATTTAGAGCTTTTATAGGCATTAAGGCCAGAAATTATTTCGGCCAAGTGGCTACGTGTCACAATATTGAACATCGAATCGTGAGGTTAGCGAACAAAACAAAGAAAGATCGGACGAATACAAAACGTAGCTTTAAGCCAAAAGTGAAAGCGAACTGTTGTTTTTTTTTGGGGGGGGGGTGTAATTAACATGTATTAACAGAATATCGGCGATGTTGGCCGGTAATACCCATGAGACAAGCGTACCTCTGGGGGTAGATAAGGGGCGTTGTTGCTCGGTTTGAAGCTGTGAAAGTGTCGCGCATTCGCTCTCTTCTTCTTGGCAGAAGCCCGCTTGGTGGCGGGAGCGCGTCCGCAACCATACACCGGGTTCACTTCGGTCCGAGAGCCGCCGCAGTCGTGTCCATTTTCTGAGCCAAACAACTCGGAAAGCCGCGCATCCATAAGCTGCTTTGCAGAGGGACGGCGGACCGGGACGGCTCTCTCAAAACACCCGAGGGGAACACAATGGAAGTTGTCTTGTTCGAATTCGACTCTTTCTATCTGAAAGGAAGGGGTTGTTTTCGGTTAAGTGATAGCTTCAGCCCCCCCACCCCGAATAAGTGGACCCTTGGAAGTCCTCGTAAACGATAACGGGGAAGAGATGGTGGTTTTGAGTTTTCCGAGGATCACGTCACATTGTGAAACGTCAGGGCAAGAAATGGCTTTGACAACACGAGCAGCGCGAGCGGGCGGCAGGCGCCCGAATCATACGTAGATCTTGCTTAAGCACCGCCCGTGTCAGCTCCCTTGGTCATTATTACCGCTGTACACTTTACAGCGCACGCCGTTTAGCAGAGGTTTGCGTCAGCCAACGAGGAAGTCAATGTTTGACACCAAGACTGACGAAAGTTTGCATTTAAGTATGAAATCACACACAGAATCGTGAAGTTAAAGCAAACGCTTTGCACTTGTATTTTTAAACTACATTCAAATGGAAAAATTGTGTTCGTTTTGGGGGAATTGGGGCAAATGGGCTGATAATGCCCGAAATTATCAACGAATGTTTTAAAAAGCATGTAATACATATGTGTATTATTTTTTTAGTCGTATTCAGTTTTGCAATCAGCATATGTGCCATATTACTCCTTTTTTTAAATGACAACTTTTTCTAACCAGTTGAATGGACTATCCAAGCAATGGGTCAGTATGGTTCTAAACATCAAGTTTTCTTCATTACCTGAAACAGAGAATTATAACTGAATGTCCTAGCAGTACTGTATTTATTATTTGTTACCTTGACGTTGACAATAACAACAACGGCGCCATCTAGTGTTTCGTAGAAAATTAAAAATATTCATAATAACAATAATATAATCATGTTTTTAAAATATAAACTCAAACTTGCTGATAAATAATTATATTTTGATTTCTGAGTTTATTTTTTTGATATATGTGTATATGAATAACAATTTAAAACTGAATAGAATAAAATAGAAAGGCTTCATTGTCATAATGTGGTGCAGATACAATGAAGATGGGGTGCAACTCTGAGGTTCTCTTTCACTTTCAGTAAGAATAATTAAAGTTCAATAGAAATCTAACAATATAAAAGCTATAACAGCCATCTATCCATTTTCCATACTGCTTATGCAAGGGTCGCGCGTAAAAGACCATAAGGAGCTTTTGGCAAATGTTCTCAGTTTTTCATGAGTATCCACTGCTCCTCCTTCTTGATGATTCTAGAGAAGTTAACGGACCAGGAGAGGTCAACAGAGATCACGGTGTTCAGGGAGGTGAAGGTGTGGACGATCTCCACGCCGAATCTATCTTGTGCACGTTGGGCGAATGGTGAGCATTTACCTGAATTTCAGAGTGCAAATCTGAGATCTGGCATCCTGCTGTATTCCAAAAACATGTAAGTTGGGTTCATTGAACACTCCTTGGTGTACAGACGTGCGAAGGTGAGTGTCGATACCTGTCTGTCTGTATGTTCCCAAGCAATTGGCTCGCGGTCAGTACCATGTCTCTTGCCCAAAGTCAGTTGGGACATACCTGTATATGCTCCAGCTCATCATGACCATAACGAGGATAAGAAGTACAGAAAATGGGCTGATGGACAAAATCATATTTTTAAAAAAAATCATCACCTTTCAGTTGTGTGTTCCTTTAGAGGAGTCTGAGCGGCTGTTGGCAGCCAATTGCAGCATTTTCGATCCCCATTAGTCTAATAAAAGTGTTGCATTTAACAAACGTTGGTGACCTCGGATTTAAAGTCTTGAATGATGAACCTAACATGCATGTTTTAGATTGTGCGAGTAAAACGGAGTACCTGGGATTTATTATTGTTGTTTTTTTTTGTTTTTTTTTTTTTAATCCAGGCAAAACATGCAAGCTCCACACATGAAGGCCAGAGCCATGATTGGAAGAAGCAGGCATCTCAGAACTGAGATGGATTTGTTAAATCCAGGATCCAGTCAAGCAAAACAAAAACTATACAGCACTACAGGCATTATGCCAATTTGAATGGATTCCATTTTTTTGACATAATTTTAAAAGTTGGCCATTTTGCAGTTCTAATCCACCAGTTTTCCATTGTTATTGACAATGAGTTTAAAAAGCCAACTCCTACTCTGGGTGTAACTGGTTCCAGAGTGTGACATTTCTGAGAATCAACCCTGATTGGTCAGGTTGCCTGTGATGTCGGACCACATCCCATTTTCCCCTTTTGAGAAGTTTCCTCTCAGATTCCTTCAAATATCCATGACTGCGTGCACACATACACGGTTATTATTCAACATGCGACATCTGATTGTGCTTCTGCTCTGTGTGGGAATCCTGAACCACATCTCAGAGGCCCTCCTCATGGAAAAGCTAGCAGACAACAAGATGTGTGGCGATGCAGAGTGTTCATGTAAGCAAATGTGTTTCATCCAATACTGCGTTTAATACCCGTTTTATACTTACAGCTATTTGTCAATTTTCTTTTGTGTGATTTTTCTTTTTAGACGTTGTCTCCATGGCCACGGCCTTGGATGACTTCATCGCGCCAGACTGCAGATTTATCAACATCAAGAAGGGTCAGAAGGTTTATGTGTATTCTAAACTGGTGCCAGAAGAGGGCGGTGGAGTCTTTTGGTCTGGCAGCGTATGTCCAAATCAAACGCCACTGTGGATGAAAGTCACTGAGATGTAAAAGGTGAGACGTTTTCGTGAAGCTATGCTGCTGATGTGTTGACTGTTAGGTGTACAGTGATCGCTATGTGGACCAGATGGGCATCATCGGATACTTTCCAGCTCCCGTGGTGAAGGAGACACACAAGTTTAGAGAGGACACGGTCCAGATTCCAACAACAGTGTGTAAAGTTAACAGACATACTGTATGTATTTGTATGTTTTTCCAATCGGTCAACAACAACTTTTTTTTTTTGTCATTGCAGAACATGGATTTCCTCTGCGCATAAGGTGAACAGATGCTTCCTGTTTGCTTGTTTGAACATACCAGTAACAAATACATCAAATTAAATACACGGTTGTTTCTACAACTAATACTCTGATCATCTCAGCTCCACAAATGCCTGAAGCGAGGTTCACAAATGCTAATCGGGCCGAATTTTATATTTTTTCATCTCTTTTGATCACTCAGTAAAGGTTTGATTCGCTGATGTCTTTGTGCGATTATACATTAGTGTCTATGTGTGTGTGTGTGTGTGTGTGTGTGTGTGTGTGTGTGTGTGTGTGTGTGTGTGTGTGTGTGTGTGTGTGTGTGTGTGTGTGTGAGAGATAGAAGTATGGGTGGGAAAAAGTCCTCACACTCTGTTCTTTCGTACTGCAGATAAGATACTTCTGTTTTAAAAAAAGGACTTATTTGACTCCTTTGTGGAAATAAAAGTAAAGTACACACCCATGAAATGTACGTAAGTATAAAGTACACATAAAATCAGTTTGTTCCCTGCTTGACACAGCCGCTTGTCATTTATCACAGCCACTTTGGTCAATAAATCCCTGTATTCCATGTCAAACCCAATCCCAACTCGTCTTATTTTAACAATGTGACTTTTGAGGAATGATCATTGGAGCCTGCCATTTCCACTGGACATGATGCTCTTGATTGTCGCCGCAGTATCAAGAGTCTTGTCATTGATTTGTTTTATCGATTGAACTGCAATGCACATCATGGAATTGTAATGTTTCCCTCCTCCATAGTAGCAAAGATCATGTCTCGAAATCCAGAAATCACGAGGCACACCTGCACAATCATTTATGAGATCAATTGCAAACACAGTCATGTGGTTTATTATGCTATCCAAACAGCTCTGCATGACGCAGCGCAATATATTCACCGTGAGGAACCGTAATGAGGATAGTGGTAAATTAACATCAAATTATAAATCAACTGTACATGAAAATCAAGTTAAGCGCTTATTAGATGTGAGGGATCTGCCTACAGTGTTTTCTGTGGCAATGTTCGATTTTAAAAACAAAATTAAAAAATGGGAAACGCTAAGAGTTGTATTTTTGCTCTTACTGAAATAGGGAGAGGTTGTGCAGAGCAGACACGCACAATGCAGTATAAACTAGGTCTTCTGACGAACACGACAGATGGATTATGGGAACTTTGTGATGAAACCAAACTTCTCGTACAGTATAATGACCGTTGAGACATATTGGGGCTCTTAAGGCACAACAGATGATCTGCTTTGTTTGCTTTCATCGTCTTCAACAGGCATTCTTTCCGCATCACATCACCCACACAGATGCACATGAAGGATCGGAACAAATGTCTGCCAGTGCAAAACAGAAAGCTCATTGATTTAGCTTCAGATCTGCTATTTCACTTATTGATTTGAAGTGACAACACAAACTTTTAATTTGTTGATTTAATTTATCATTTGAGGCAATTAGCGCGGTCACGTACTCGTTCCAATCAATATAAACCTGCTAAACATTTTAACATTTACCATGAAAAAAAAAACCATCAGCAGGGAGAAAAGCAGACAAGTGATGAAAAACAAATGGCCGTGTGCACATAGACACACTATTATTACTTTAAAGGGTTGCCATGGTGACGGGATAAGAGTTTTCGGCGGGATTGATGGTTCAAGGAGCAGCTGCCAAAAGCAGACACACACAAGACAGAGCGCACAAGCTGCTGTTTTTTTTTCCCCAACAAGTTTTTCCATCTCTATGTCAAACCCACACCGTTGTAAACAGGAAGCCCCTTGGCACCCTGCCGAGCTGTGAAATCAGCGCATCTGAGGGTTTAAATATCCATTTTAAATTAAATACGCATCTTAAATATCCTTCAGTGGCTGATGCATGAATGATATGTGGGGGACTACGGAGACTGGAAAAACAACAATTATGCTCAGACTAATAACGATGACTTACAAAAATAGTAAGCACAAAAAAATCTATCTATCTATCTATCTATCTATCTATCTATCTATCTATCTATCTATCTATCTATATATATATATATAGATATATAGATATATATATGAATGAGTATCTAATAGTTAACTGCAGAAGACAGTACAACAATCTGACAGACAAAAACAGCACCACCAATGAATGAAAACAGTATGAATGTATCCAAATCAAAGTCACGAAACAAAGACACTCTGAGACATGTCTTTTAATTGTCAAAGGAGATTCGTTTATTTACTCCATGAGTCATATAGTGACGACCACCAAGTAACGCACCAGAATTAGAATTTTAAATGTAAATACAGTACTGCACCAGTCGCTCAAGATGTGGTGTGCTGTGAGACTGCGCCACCTTTAAATTGCAGGCATAGTTCAACTGAAAACGGGTGAAAAAACATATTTCACTAACCTTGGCAATCAGCAAGCCAAATAAAAGGGAAAACATAAAAAGAATGAATGGAGCAAAGTGAGTCTCAGATTGTATTTTTTTTTCCATCCCAGGAGATAGCATAAAGACTTAGATACTGTTTTTCGTGGAGGGAGAAGAGGGGAGTGAGAACGTGAGTGCGTATAAATCAATGGTTCTTTGTGCCACCGAAAAAAAAAAAATAGGTGGAAGCACACTAGCCCGCGCAATTACATGACTCACACAGTCACACTTGCACGTGCACGTACGCACAGATACGCTTCAGAGAAGAAGAGAGCGCGAGCTGGGTGAAGTTAATGCCGAAGCTGCACTTTATCCTAACTAATGAAAGCCTTTGTGACTTTGAAGCCAATCGAAGCTGAAATTGACAAATGCAATGTGAGCGAGAGCAATAAATGTGATAAGGACAAACCCAAGTCACAACCCCTTCGAGGATTTTGTCCTCTGTGAATTGATTGATTGAGTTCAAATGATCCCGGGACGTAGACTTTTTGTGACCCTCAGAGAAAATGGACTCCCTCATTTGAGCACCTTGAAGATGCTGTTGAAGGCTCTCACTACATGCCCTTGTGTGTTGACACAGTCGTTTATCCCACTGTGAAAACATTGTTGTTATTGCTGCTATTTCACTGAGTCATATCAGGTCTGGGAACAAATATGATGATGCTTCAAATGGTCGACTGCTCCGATACTATGGTCCTTTTTCTCTGTTCAATGTAATGGCATCAAAACTATTTTTCCCCTTGACGTTTTGCTTTCTACGGGATTTCATAGGAAACCATACAAAAGGACTACCAGAAGCAATTTGCATTTTGCCATGTGTGAGTCAAATACTCTTTAAAAATATGTAGTCGTCTTACTTTGATATTGATCACAAGCCTGATTTTTAAAAAAAGTGATTTGCGGTAATGTGCTAAAAATTAAAGTGTATTGGTTTTGTTTCAAGTGTCTACTTGTGTAGCCTGTCAGACAAAATGAATAGTGATATGAAAAAAAAAAAAGATGAATGAGAGTCCAAAGGTGATAGGATATACCAACCTGCGCGCGGACTCACAATGTTCTGCATCAAAGGATAGATGTTAAAATCCTGTGGAGATAGAATGGTAAAACACTAGCAGTTGCTATGCTAACATACTGTAGACTAGAGCAAGATAGCAACAGACAAATAAAGGATATCTTAATCTTAATCTTAAAAAGACTTTTCATCTGGTCCTATACTGTAATTAGGTTCTAGAAAAATTAGAATTGATAAAATTATTAACATGCTAGCATGTGGTATGCTCATACATAGCAAGATAGCAAAATGCTAACATGCTAATCGTAAACTTAGTAAAATATAGCAAGATACCAGAGTAGAGGAAGTGCTAAGGTAGATAAATCATCACATCATTGGTTGCTACGTAGTCAAGTAATATTTCAATGAGAATTCATAAAATGCTGGTGTGCTAACAAATAAGGGCATGGCAGCAGCCTGAGTAGAGAAAGCGTTAAGGTAGACTGAAAGGCCTCTGCACCTGAGCTGGAGTTAAGTGTTATTTCAAACTGGTAAAATGATAACTGTCGATTTGTTAGAAGAAGAAGAAGAAGGTAGCAATCGAAGCAGGGAAAGTGGTAAGCCATCCGTCAGGATTTTATTGTCATCTTAGAATTGATAAATGGCATGCTGACAATTGATAACAAGTTATCACTTTCTATCTCTTACCGTAGCTTTTTAAGGCACGTGTCCATAACAAACTTTCCTACGTCCTGTCTTTTCATGTTTTATTTTCACAGAGATGGGTTTAGTGACAGACTTTGAATGGAGCCACAAGTGTTTGTCATGACAACTAATTAGCCATTACAAAAGCAGCTGGGGCTAAGTAAGGCCATTAGGTGCTGAAAGAAAATGGAGTTGTCGTCACCGGGTTTCTCTCTTCACATCCAAACATGTGGCAAAATGATCGGGAAAAGATGTAAATGCTTGTCATCCATTTATTTCAATCAATAAGTGTCTATGACAGCGGTCCCCAAACTTTTTCCTGTGAGGGCCGCATAAGCTTTGCTTCTGTGATGGGGGGGGGGGGGGGGGGGTCAGTCTGGAACAGAAAAAGGGTGACCGCAAGAGTACGGAAATGTAAAAATGGATTGTTTTCCAGAAACCCACACAAAATGAAGCCGCCTCTTGACAGATGAGACTGACAGACGTTTCTTTGCGCTGAAAGAAACAAAAACAAAAACATCGTTTGTCCACTTTGGGTTAAATACCCCGCATTCTATTTTTCTCTTACCGAACCTTTTCGCCATGATCCCGTTCTCTGAGAGAGGGGCCGGTTTCGGATTTTTTTTTTCTGGCGTTGCCAGATAACGGCACAGAAAGATGCACCAAATGTCACCTTATTGTATCTGTGTTTATGAAATAGTTACTAATTAATAGTTAATAATGAAAACGGTTCAGAACTAAGGAACATTTTATTGCAAAAGCCCAACTTTATGATCAAAGACAAATCCACATCGATGAAAAATAAATCAAAATACTCTGTGGTATTTTCAGGGGGCCGGACCAAATGCGGAGGCGGGCCGGATCCGGCCCGCGGGCCGTAGTTTGGGGACACCTGGTCTATGACATACCTTTCGTACATTTACATTTGGACGTTTGCTTTTATTCTTTTAGTATTTTTGCATGTTACATTACGGTGCTATTTCACTGTCCTTTTCTTTAGGGTTGGTGGAACAACATGAGGTTCACAGCTCTGCCCATCTTGTAATAATCAAATTAAAAAATGACAACCTTTTGGTGCATCCCTCGTGTTTATGTTGGTAAAAAAAAAAAGTGACACACATTCATATACCAGAGGCTTTTTGTTTTTATTGTTATGTGTGACCACGTGAATATCTGTGTGAACGCTACTCAGGTGTCCCAGAGTGCTTTGGTGCTTTGCTTCATCTTTGGCCCGTTTTACAGACAAAGCAGCTTTGTTAAGCTTAATGGTGCTTGTATTGATTGGCTAGGATATCCTCACAACCCGCCAGGGCCGAATGAGCAATGAGATCCTCCAATGAGGACCTCTAAATGCTTTCCAGCTCCTTTTTATTGACCCTTCTGGAATAGCTCATGCAGGGTTTTATTTACACGCTTTGCCCACAGCCTGTTTTTACAATGCAGAGATTGCTCTGTAATGGCGGCATGCATATGAGTATTGTCTGTTTTTTACTGTTTGCCTGACTGGGTGTAATGCAACTATAGAGGCTTGTGAAGTCATGGAAGCAGATGCGAATGAACTTTCCTATGTTAGTCAGCACTAATTGAATCGAATGGCTGGCTTAGCACTCATCTGTGGTCCAGTCAGTGTACTGTAGCTTTTGAGCCCGAAAGGGATAGTGACCTTTCCCTAATACCGCCAGGTTGGATCAGGTGACGCCCGTTCTCACATCTGCGCTAAGACGGGGATTGTGTTACATCAACTGGACAGATACACGTACATTTGTCATTATTTCTTGAAAGACAAGACACACACGCACATAAAAAAAAAATCAAGAAGAATAGTGAAGAGATTTTTAAAAACTTTTATTTACTCATAATATTTTGAATGTCCTGTGACTGACATTCATTTGAGAGAAAAAATGGCAGTACGACAAGCTTTATGTACTGTTTTTTTTTTGTTGTGAAAAATGTAATATGATGAATCAGCAAAAGTTAAGAAACAAAGAAAAGTTAAGAAACGAACCCACTCTGAAAAACTGAATTAATAAAACAAAATGCAAAATGAATAATAAACTAATTCTAATTGACAATTGCTAAACTTTTATAACCCTGGACGAGAATTGACAGCCCCCATTTTAGCGTCGCTCCACCCTGCGTGCATGCAATCCTTGAAAGTGCGTTAAGTGACACACTTAAGTCGATGGGCCATTCTGTGCAGTTAAAAAAAAGTGTACTAAAATCAAATCCGAATTTTCAACGTTCGACAAAAGTATCTTCTGAAATGACTGAAATATTTTGGGACATAAAGGCACAACGCATAGGACTAATTCCCCGTTGGCCTACGTAGGCTATTGTTTACCTTCTTAATGGACTGTGCTCTTCAGAGTACGAGGCAGCACTGGAGAGCGGCTTGGTAACGTCCGAGGTAGCATTACCATTAGCAGTAATGTCCTAATGGAAAGAACACAGGAGGAAGGCTGGTGCTTGTGCTCTTTTCCGTCCTCATCGGACCCACCGTCATCACATCGAGTCAAGGTCTTCCGCCCAGACCGCAGAGCAGAGCAAAGAGCCCATTTTCATGCTGATTACCACCAGGTCACATTGTCGTCAGTCTTCTCGCAGGAAGGCATTCGCAAAGGCCAGATAATTACCCCCACCTCGAGTTGAGGTGGAAGGACGAGTTTGGCTCTTCGGAGGCTTGATTTTGCAAAATGAATGCACCCGTTAAATTAAAGAATCTCATGATTAGTGTGTTTCGGAGCTGTTGTTTTCTGGCTTGCTGTGAGAATGAAGTCAGATTATGATGAGTTTTTGTTTATTAATCGATTTTATGGAAATAAACTTTAAGTTTTATGAATTAAAAAAATACAACAAGTTGTAATATTATGAGTGAGTACAGTAAATACCCCAAGCAATATAATGTGAATGAAGTCACTTTTACCTCATACAGAAAATATATAAAATGCAATTAAAATAAATATAATAATTGAATGGAAAAGTTTGAATTATTTTTCAGAGTGGGTTTGTTAATTTTTATTAGTTTTATGCTTGGTTTTAGTTTCGCTTTTATTAGTTTTAAAATAAGTGTAATAATAGAACATTTTAATGAATAATCATTGATGAGAATTGTTGTCATTTGTTTTATTAAATTCTTTCAGTTATAAGAATAAAATCCATTGTATTCAATGCAACAAAAAGTCATATTTTTATGAGAAAAAACACAAAATATTGCCAGAATAAAATTTTATATATATTTTTTATTAATTAATTAATTTATTTAATTAATTGTTGTTTTTTTTTTCCTAGAATGAAATCATATTCATAGAAGGTGGGTAACACAGAGTACAATTTCAAGGACTCTTGAAGAAAGTGTCGTGGATTAGCTCTGCTGGTTCATTTTCCTCAACTAATTTTCCAATCAAAAAGATTTTGGGCGTGTGTGAATCATGGCTTGCGACGATTGGACCACCACAGTCAAACCCACCTAACGCCGAGTAACTTTCTGCAGGTGCCCCGCTGATGCGGCTGATGACCGTTCTGACAAACCAAGCGTCATTACGTGACTCAAATGACTACCACTCGCTGTGATATGTTCCCACCTTATAATCAAAGTCCAAACACATTCAACAAAGTAGTAATTTGCAGGTAATACACCGTGAGCAATCAAACGATGACAGCGTGGTGCTTTCATATACATTATTTCTCATGTACCAAACAGTATTTTGCATTAAGTGTTGTTCAGCTCTGTCAAATTTGCATGTCTTTTAATCGCCCCCCATGTGACGCATCCATTAGGCCGCACAGAATTCTCACCTTGAAAATAAGCAACGCACGCAGGGAATTAATCATCCTGATTATGCATAATCGGAGTCGTGCGCGCTTGTTTTTCTATTCCAATTAAAGTGGATTTGCTTTTGGAGTAGGCTTTGAATAACAAAGCGGGTGGCGGCAGCCAGTCACGCTTATGCGGCTCTTAGCACGGGTGAGTGGCTTGCTCTGATACAGATGCTTCAAAGGAATTGTGTTTTAGTTTCACCCTGTATCGATGCTGAGCTACAGCATGTATTGTCACATTCGTATAAGTTGTGATACTAATCCTGTTTTTGTAAAAAAAAAAAAAAAAAGTATTCATTTTTGCCAGCTATAATGTTGATAATTGGTTATTAATACACCACAGACTATTATCCCAAAACAGTTTAATATCATTTTAAACTTTCTTACATTATCCTTAAAGAGAAATGGTTTACACATCATTTGATTGAGAAAAAATACACCTGATGTGCATGTTTACATACAAATGTGGAAAAAAAACCAGTAACTTCCATCAACAATACATCTTAAATTTTGCTTCTCTCAAGCATACAAAGCAGATTTATGATTATTTATGTACAGTATATTATTATTTCAACTTACTGTTGATATAACAACACAATACAATACAGTACATCCTGATTTACAGACTGATTGGAGGGAGGGGTCATCCCTTAGAGATGAGTTTTATAATTTTCTCTTTGCATTAAAAATTGTTACATAAAGAAAGAAGCTCGAAAGTGTTTGAAAAGTTTGAAAGTGGATCCAAACATACCTGGGTGTTGCTTGAGGATGATGACGGTGTGCATCCGATAGCGTTCATGAGCCACAATGTTAAGCAGTTCCTTTTTTTCACCACTGTCACGATCGCGACACTTTACAAAAAAAATAAAAAAGTAATATTTGTGCCGTACCAAAAATCACATGTTTGAGAGCAGAGATGCACGATATGAGACATTTCAACCAATATCGTTATACTGATAACCAATAATTTGGCTGATACACTCAGTGATCGCCGGTCGCCTCTAAAATCCTGATCGTGTAAAGCTGAGCTGTTTGCGATGGAACCAGCCAGATGTACAGTTGACGCTTGTGAGCGCTGAAAACTAGGACATAGCAAACACCGAAAATAGGCTAGGAAATCACTCTCTAACCACGCTTGTGAGCAGACTTCATAAAAACACACTCAAAAGTGGTTTGTAGATTAGATGGCGCCTTGCTGAGGGGAAAATCACTCTGTCACAGCAGTGCAGTTGTGAAAATAAAAATGTTATCCTGAATTACCTGTCTATTGACCTCAGGAAAGTTTTTGGCCTGTGTGGGGTTTTGTAAACAGCACCTACACAGGCATCATAAGCAATTTACTTCAACAGAATGGTGTTTATTCATGTTCGCCAAATGTAAAAGTAGTAGGTCTAATCTAACGGAACACATTTTCCTTCAAGGCTGCTGTCAATCAATCATAAACTATTTTAATAGCCGCGCACGCTAATTTGAAAGATTCAAGGCGAGATGCATTGTGGCAGGTAAATAACACCCATCCCCAAGATGAAGCCTGCTCTGTGCTGATTCTTATTATTTTTTTTATATCTGCCATCTTATCTCACAGAGGCAGACACCTGAAGAAGCTCAGCACACAGAAAGAGCATCAAGCTCCCTGGTCGATCCAGTCAAGTCAGTGTGCAAAGTACCTACAATGCCTCTGTCACCGCACGACGGAAGTTGTTACTTATTGGAACTGCAGCGAAGGGAGCTTCCTTGAAATGGACATACAGTATGATGCCAATTTTTCCACTACTTTCCAGGTCGTTCATTTCTGTGACATGATTCGATCAACATACCTCAAAATCACTCTCTCGAAACAGCCAGGTGGTGTAAGGTGGCTTTCCTGTCTCAACCCAGCTGACTTTGGGCAAGAGGTGGGCTGAACTGATCGGCAGCCAATGAAGAGCCACAAAAATGGATCGGTAACATTTTCATAATATTACATTTTTACAATTTTAACCAACTCAATGAAGAGAGCGCACTCTTTTTTTATGTGGTAGGCAGTAATAGCCTTTATTACAACCACAAAAAAAAACAGACTGGTTCTGACAATCGTTGACATGTTGCAGTTAACCAAACCGCACTGTGAGTGTGTACCTGATGATAAAATACCACCTTGATATTTTCCGGTGTTTCCAAAATGCCGCATGACCACTATTTAGTGCAGCGGATCAATTAAGTTCAGAGCCTGCACTAGCACAGTGATCGTTACGTCACTGGTTCATTTCCAATGTAAAGTAACACATGACCCTTTACGTGATTTCCCACTCACAAGGTGAATGATGACACAAGTGGATTTTGGGCCTTGGAAGGCAAGATACGAGGAGCTGTCATTGTGAAAAACATGTTGCCTCTTTGCTCACGATTGAAAATTAGTCGAGCTGCCGTGTCATATTTTTCTGTGTGTTCTCACTGACCGTGATAGCCGAAGCAATAAAAGGCAGTGAAAAAAAAATTCTTCACAGTTCATTTCGGATTGTGTTGTTGTGTAGAGCTAGGTTTGGTTTATCGTTGTTACTGGGCATTCTTTTTAAGGTTTTTGAGGGTAAAATACAAGGCAAACAGGAAAGAAACATAGAGTGTTTAACTGAATTAAGATGATGGCATTGTAATGCAGTTTGAAATCATTTGGAAGGGATTTCTAAAGGTCAACAAATGCATCAATGTAAGGGGAGGAAAAAAAGTCTCGCTATGTTCTCATTTAGTATAAATGCGATGGTGTTGTTACACCCAATCTTTCTTGTGAAATCACTTTTTCCAGTCGGCGACAATCATGATTCCTCCTCGCCGTGCCATGCTGACTTCACACATTGTCGTCTTTCAGATTGACTTTGAGATGAAGAGATGAAGCTCCCATGCGCACACATTTTTTGTGATGCATCCCTCCAATAGGAAACTCTGCAAAGAACCCTTAATAGAATGTGTAATTTGGAGGCTTCCTTTTAAACGCAGCTCTGGTGAGAAGTGAAGTATAATAGAGATGCGAGCTCGTTTGTCCAAGTGAAACAAATAATCTCTCTGCTGCAGCGTGGCAGTCGTGTGGGAGGAAATCTCCGGGGAGGCTGCAAACGGTGATTAGTAAACAGCCTACACTTATATAGAAAACACATTGTTATTTTCCGAAGCTGTTTCATACAACCTTGGGATGTTATATAATGTGAGAGCAATCATTAGGGTGATCGATGAGTGTTATTTTAGCTACATGGGAATACATGCACCTCACAGAAATGGGGTATTCCTCCATTGGCAAAGAATGTACTTGTGTGTCCAGTCCTTATGTAGTGTGTCAAGTAGCAACATGAGGAACATTTTAATGAGGTCGCTTTCTCCTTTTTTTCTCTTTTTTTCATAACAACCTGCTGCTCATATCCAATTACACCCCATTCCAACTGTTTCTACGTTCCAACCTAGAAGGTCAGAATGCGTAGGATGGATGTGAACAATCTGTGGAATTTTGAAAGAAGAGACACGAGCCTCGTCAAGGGTGGTGCAGTTCACAGAAATTCCCAATAAGCTACTCGCAAATGTCCATCGATCCATCGCGTTTGTCCTCATCAGCTAACTTTGAGAGGTTTGGTCTCTATATCTAGTGACTTTTACAACCTCTCCCACTAACTATTCTTCTAAAAAGCGACTCGCAAACAAACAACGTAAGCAGAATCTTTGGGATATTTTGTTCCGTTTGATGACAAAGCCAATCACAGAGTCAACCGCACTGAAAATTACCGACAATGTGTTCCCCATTTGTACATTGCAAAAGCAGTGACTTCCCGACTTGTTGGAAACTTTTGACCCGAGGCACAATATGTATTTCCAAGCCACCAGAGTTCACCTAAAAATGCTGATTGAATATAAACCTGGTAGGACTGCAGAAACAGGTCAATTAGTGGAGCCCAGAATTCAAAGCAAGCACGGTGAAGCAGCACGTCGCTGTTATGCTGCACACGAATGGAATAAGCTGATGACATAACTTATGTTAGCCCCAAATGTAAACGCTGAGGTTAAAACCGATATTCTTTTAACATACCAATATGATTAATGTCTTTCAAAGCATTTTAAAAATCTTGTACTTACACTCTTTGTTATTTTTGTGTTCTAGAAAGCTACGTTTTATTTATTTGCTTTTACATGTTTTGTTTGCACGTGCTTTTAAATGTTGTACTTTTGTGAAGCACATTGTGTTACCTTGTGTATGAAATGCGCTATGTAACAGTAAATGAAGCTGCCTTACCTTGCTTATATAAGTAATTCATGACAGGACCCCAAGCAGTGTGGCTCATGTGGGATCAAGGTGTGCATAATAAGAGAATGGATGGACCAGAGTCCTGTTTATGAAGGCTCAAAATCCTCTTGGTTTTGAATGAAAGTGGAGCAGGGATCTCTCCATGGTGCTGACAGGACACCCCAAGGCTGAGTGAGCCCCATTGGAAAATTGTGACGGACTGGGAGGGGGAGAGACACAAATCTGAGGATGCACGTCGAGCGCCCCACGCAGCACACACGAGCGCCCCACTCGACCCGCAGCAGGAGAGGAAACACCGACTCGCAGAGGAGATGCGCGCGCAAAACCTCTGATTCCACCTCCTCCACCACCGTACCTCCCACCCTCCCTCCCTCCCTCCTCTCCTCTCTCAGCAGGAGCATCCCTCCCTCCAAACATCCAAACACAAGCCGACGGGCAGCCTAGGCAAGAAGGCGCGTGCACACACAAACACACGCACGGACGAATATTGACACAAGCCGGTCACGATGCGCGGATCTCCCCGCCGTGCAGGGACACGCGTGGGATTTATGGTGCTGCTGAACGCGCTGCTGCTGCTGCTGGCGGCGACGCAGGCTGCGGAGAGATACTCCACGGAGCATGTTGTGGTCCAGTTGCACGAGGAGGCGCCGGAGGAGGAGGCGCACCAACTTGCAACACAACATGGGTACCAGAGTGCTCGCAAGGTAGGATGCTCGGACAAACGGAGCCTCGGGATATGATATAGATTTTTTTTCAAAACATGACTTCCTTCTTCTGATCCTTCACAGGCATTTGTTTTGTTTTCGGTGCACTTCTGTGAAATGTGGTGACGTCACATCCCACTACAAGACAGCTTCGTTTATTAGGCAGCATGCCTGCTCGACAGAAATGTGTCTCAAAGCAATTTGATTTCCTTTTGTTTTTCTACATGGAAAAAAAAAGTCAACAAGTAGAAAATGATATTGAAAAGATAATACATGGGTAGGTCAGATACAATAATTCAACTGATAATATTTGAAAATACCTCTAAAAAAATGTTCATACATTGCTAATAAATGAATATTAAATAAAGTAATATAAAATATGGGAATGTATGCATTTGGGCGCAAATAAATCGAGACAAACAAATCATGAAACAGCTACAAAAATAATAGATACAGTAATACACACATGAAAATACATCTAAATAGATCTTAAATAAATCTGAATAACTTGATAAATTAAAATATTTATTACATTACAAAATATTTGTAATGGAAAAACGTCCTTTGATCTCATTAGCTTGTATATTTTCATCTTAAAAAGAATCCAGAATGTAGCATGTTTCCAATATATGATCATAATAACAATAATAATAACGAGCAATACAGCAGGTCTTTCATCACTGAATTCAAAAGCAATAATTTTCTTTCCTTGATAAATTAACCCCCACAAAAAAAATACAATTTTCGCTGTCCATATATATTTTAAACATTGCAGAAAAAACGTGACATTTAGAAAAAGAAAATACAGTTTTATCCTCTATTTTACCAACACAGGCACAATCTTTCAAATATTTTCCCACTTCCCATCGACACACATTTTGAAGAGTCGTGACACACACACTCACACACACACCCACACACACACACACACACTCACACACACACACACACACACACACACACGCACACACACACACACACACACACACACACACACACACACACACACACACACACGTTCATCCCTATGTGTGACATTTTATTCACCCTGGAGATATGACATGAAATATGTGGATAACGTACCGTACATGAACAAAACACTAACAAGGCCTCCATGATGGAGCAGTAGAAACAGCCCCCCCCCCCCCACCTCTGCCTTTGGCAGCGTGAGGGCCTGTCAAAATGGACGTGTGTGAAATTGCTCACTGGGGGGTGGGGGGTCGGGGGGGTTGCAGGCAGCGAGGCCTACAGCATGAAATATTCTGCTCTGACTCTGAATAAGGATTTTCTGTTTATTCATAAATAAACGTGTCAGTCTGTACTTCATCATTGTAATATTTGCTGTGCGGTGTTTCGATGATCGCTAGTTCTTTTTCTTGGACAGTGGAGCACCCCATCCCATCCAACCCCCCTCGTTCACATCTTACCTCCCTCTTCCTCTCACAGGTTATGTAATCGGCAGCTATATTTGTCTTGATGGGATCTATAGCATTAAACAATGGCTGCTTTCTTTGAACCATCTTTAATTGTTGCTTAATTAACAAGATAAGGGCACCCGACTTTAGTGCAGATTGTATTGAGTCCTCGTTTTTTTTTTTTTAATTTTGAGAGCATGAGTGTCAAATAACAATAGTCTTCAATGTTATAGCCAAATGCGATTCAGCAGACTCATCAGAAAGCATTTGTAGGGAACACTGACCTACCCCGAACTCAGCCAGTTTTCAAGCATAAGGGGTCTTTAATCTGGGCATGGTGCCTGAGGGGAAAAAAAAAATCATCGCATTTCACTGCTCTCATCATGCGTTAGGCTTAATTCTACCACCCGTGCCCTAAAATAGATCCTTGTGCCCCTTTCATGAAAGCCTGGAAATCAGTGCCCTTTCTTCAACCTTTCTCCACTCTCGTCTATTGTAGTGTAGCAATTACATGCCGATTGGGGCATCTCTTTCAACCCATTCTTACTCATCTCCTTTATTCACCATTTTGTTTTTGTTCAGGTGGCCTTTGGAAAGGGGCTCTACCATTTCTATCCTCAGGATTCTTCCAAGAGGCGGAGCAAACGAAGCATACGAAGCAGACAGCGACTCCAGAAAGACAGCAGGGTAACTAGAAGTCATGTCTTAAGACCGTAAATTTAAAATTAAATAAATGTAGAAAAATGGATGAAAGTATGATTGCAGGAGCAACTACAATGAAGTGCCGATGGTCTTAATACGACAAGTCGCTTTCAATTGCACATTCCCATTTCCACCAGAAATGTCATGCTGCATTGTCCAAGAGTCCAAACAAGACCAGGATTAGTTTTTGTAATTTCTTCATAATTTTTTTTTAAATTGTGGGAACCAGCTTGAGCTCCTCAGCCAGCCTACTTCCAATCTTCAACCCAATGTGTTCTAAATTCATAGCGAGTGGGTTAGGAAACAACCCGGCATCTTTTCGTTTGTCATCACTCTTTGTGGAAAACCGGCTCTGCGTGACA